CACCGCCGCTGCCGCCGCCTCCGCCACCACTACTCGCTAGTTGGCTTCCCTGCGTCCTGCGGCGGCGCTGCCGCCACGCCATCGCGCGTGCGCGGCGCCGCGGGGGCCCCTGGGACTGGTGGTTCGTGCGCACGACCCGCCGAGCCCTTCCGCTTTAGCCAGCCCGGTCCGCCCCTGGTTTGAGTGGTCGTGGGCACCTGCGGTACCGAGAAGTGCCTTCCTGAAAGTCGTCCCTCAGGAGACGCGGGCACTTGCTGGCGCATACGGTGCTGCTAGATGTGAAAAACCCTCAGGAAGAGACACGTGTAAAGTAAGACAATTTAGAGCATTTACATTTTCGTTAACAAGTGTCACTTGCCCAGGACACAGACACACAAACCACCTCTCCCTTTCTGTTAAAAGTGTCGCAAATTGCCTTCAGTGGTATCTGGATTTCCGGTTTTAAACCTGATTTCCCAGTCCTCATTGTATCGTTTTACTTTGTAAATTTGACCATGCAGTTTGAGTTGACTGACTTATCATTTTACAAAAACAATTCAGATACATTCAAATGTGAAGTTAACCTAGCCGCAGTCATAGAAACTTTAGAATCCGAAGACACCCTAAAGGTCATTCCAACTCCCGCCCAGGCTGGAATTCGCTCTTGTACATGCCAGCCAGATGGTCTTCCAACTTCTATTTCAACAATTCGAATTTCAGGGACCTCAACATCTTAGGACAGCCTGCTCCATTGTTGGACAGCTCTAAAAGTTAGAAAGTTCTGCCTTGTGTGAACTGAAACCGGCTTCCCTTTTACTTCCTTCCGCTTCTAGTGGTTATGATGCCTGGAACAATTTAGAATGTTTTCCACTTGACAGCCTTTCAAAAAATTGAAAACGATGATTATATCCTCCAACACTGAGAGTCTCCAGTCAAAAAAAAAAAAAGTAATAATAGTTTTCCAACCATTTCAAATATGAATCAGCTCTGAGACTGCTTTCCACTTAGTCATTATCTTTGATGTATTACCCTTAAAAATTGTCAAAATTTGCTTTGTATTTATTGCCTCATTTTATTACCACGATGGCATTCTATAGTTAGCTACTCAGCTATTATCACTGTTATATTGCCATTCAACTGATTCAAGAATTCAGTTCAACCAAAGACGATATATCAACTTTGTTTTAAAGCATTGCCCAAAGCCTCAGGGGAATGAGAAAAAAAAAAAAAAAAAAAAAAAAAAAAAAAAAAAAGCCACTAGGTACAATTTACAATCTAGGGTAGTTCTATGAGAATCCCTGAGAAAAGCTTCATCAAGTTGAGGGGCCATGACTGTAAGAAGATGATGACACTGGGGAGTTACTGGATGGCTGGATTTCAAGAAGGGAGATGGCATGTGAGGATTGCTAAGGAAGAACCCATCCTAAGCAAAATGAATGTGTAAATGAACACATTCACTGTTTGCTTTCACTTAACACACTGAGTACTCTAGATGGGCTGGAGCACACACACCCACGCCATGGAGGAGAGGAAGAAAAGGGCCCCAAAAGTTGCAAAAAGTTCTTGAGGGTCGTGAAAAGAGCACTGGGATTGTCAATTGTTTTGAGCCCTACTCTGACATCTATAAATGAATAACTTGAATAGGTGTGGTTTTCAACTTTTTTCCCACCTAGCACACTCAAGGAACACAACCCCCACATTAGAACAATGGATCACTACAACAGTAATTCTGGTGGAATATGTAGAAGGTAGTGTTCTTAACACCTTTTACACATGGAGACGTGAACTCAAGAGGTGAAAAGATGCTCTGGGTGCCTGAGTGGCTTAGTCAGTTAAGCATCAGACTTTGGCTCAGGTCATGATCTCACGGAACCGTGAGATTCATGGAGACCTGCATTGGGCTCTGCACTGACAGTGACAGCCTGCTCTTTGCCCCTCCTCCATCTCTGCCCCTCCCCTGCTCTCTCGCTGTCTGTCTCTCTCTCACACACACACACACTCTCTCTCTCTCAATAAATAAAAAAAAAAAAAATTTTTTTTTTTTAAAAAGAGGTGCAAAGATGCTCAAAATCAATACATAGTACTCCCTGAGGGCAAAGAACCCGTTTGTTCCCCACTGTCCCTCTGGAACCTGGCATACTGCCTAGGATGTAATACATATTTGTTCTGTTTCTGTTTTCTTTTCAATGAATGGGATGAATAAACAGTGAGCCCTGGCTAAAGCTCATTGTTTTCCACTACACCATTCAGCCTTCCCTGATACGATTATGTTCTACATACAGTTCTGTGCTCTGTAATTTGTTCTTTTCATTTAAAATTAAATCCTGAGGGGCGCCTGGGTGACTCAGTCAGCTGAGCATATGACTTCGACTCAGGTCATAATCTTGCAGTTCATGGGTTCAAGCCCTGTGGAGGGTTCTGTACTCACAGCTCAAAGCCTGGAGCCTACTTCAGATTCTGTGTCTCTCTCCCTTCGCCTCTCCCCTGCTCATGTTCTCTGTCTCAAAAATAAACATAAATACATACAAACATACATACATACAATAAAAGTAAATCCTGGTATGCCTGGGTGGCGCAGTCAATTGAATGTTGACTCTTGATTTCAGCTCAGGTCATGATCCCAGGGTCCTGGGATCGAGCCCTTGTTGGGCTCTGCGCTAAGTGTGGAGCCTGCCTAATATATTCTCTCCCACCCCCCTCTCTTCTTCTCCCCCCACTGTCCCTCTCCCCTGCTCTCTAATTAAAATTTTAAAAATTAAAAAAAATAAATCCCGAGCTTTATTCCATATCAATACATAAAAAGCCACCTCATTGTTTTGAACCTTTGCACAATATTTCCATAGAATCACTTACCATAGCTGATTAGCATCCCCTATTGATGGACATTTAGATTGACTGTATATTCTGAATAACGAAAAATTCACATGAATTAACTACATATTTTTTAACATAGTTAAAAAAAATTTTAAGGGAAAAAATTTCTAAAGCTCTGGAAATCTGTAAACAAACAAAAATCCAGAAAGACATGCATGGAAGCTGTTCTATACACAGGTGGCAGAAAGTATTCCTTTATAAAGTGCTTTTTGCTCTTTGGAACATCCCAGTTGAAAGTAAAGGACAAGACTTTAGTCACGGTCTTACTTCGTGTTTTGGGCCCTTGATTGTCCTACAGTGGCCCCCACTGGCAGGCTCAGAAATAGTAGCAGTACTCAGAGGTGGATTTGCTATGAAGCATGATTTAGGGCCACTCACTTGCCTGGGGATCCTTCTAAGGCCCAAGCAACTCACAGTCAATATGGTTTTGTGACATCTGCCAAAGAAATTTTAATTATTGGCTAAATTGAGGACAACAGATAAAAGCCTAGAACTTAATAAGGAGGAAAATGACTCCTATTGAACCATCATAAATCATGTAACTCACACTTCAGCAAAGTGAAATTAGTATCAGGATGTCCACACTGATGGGAGCCATCATGTAATGCAACATAAAATTTTGGTGTGTTATCTGTATTTGATTTAACCTATGACTAATTATAATGTATGAAATATCTTTAACATAATTATATCTTACACATCTTTTACTGACAACCTTTTTGTTCTCTTAAATTACTTTTATTTATTTACATTTTAAGGTTTTGGGGGGATTTATTGATGTTTTTAAAAGAAACCGTTGACAAAGATTCACCAGAAATAATGTGAACAAGAAGGAAAATACAGTAAATACTACTGAAACAGTAAAATAATTCAAGCCTACACGGTTTGTCTGACAAAACAGTACTTCTTAAATCCTGTCATTGAAACAAAAATGGACTGCTTTTCTAAACAAACAGTGGTATAATTAACACTATTCAATACTATTTTTTCCTGAATATATAAAAATTAGAATACCAATTAAAAACGAATATATCTCCTCTTTAAATATTTCCTACAGATACAATTTCAATATTTTCATTCAACAGTGGTGTGGTTTAAGAGATTTTTCACTCACAAGTCAAATAACAATGCACCCAAAGGGAATCAATAATCTATATAGACTCCCAGTGCGAATAAAGACTTTAGGAAACAGCAAATGATATTTCTAACAAAAATACCAAACAGATAAAATTCTTAGAAGATATATGCAATAAGGTCTACTAAGCAGCTGGCCACAGATGTAGAACATTTCATCATTTTACTAGTGATTTCAAGGGGACTCTAGATGTCTCCAAACTCAATTGGAACACTCGTCTTAGGCTTTGTATTTTGCTTTTCCAGTTTCACTAATGACACAAACATGATTCAAATCCCTGAAATATTCATTATAGTCAAGGGCATAACCTACAACAAACTTGTCTGGAATTTCAAATCCAACAAAGTCTGGTCTGTATCCAACACTTCGAGGAGTCCTTTTCACCAGCAAGCTTGCAACCCTGACCATCTTTGGATTATACTGCTTGACCAAGGAAAGCAAGGTTTGCATTGTTTTGCCAGTGTCAATTATATCTTCAACAATCAAGACATTCTTTCCAGTTAAAGTTGAGAGATCATCTCCACCAATTACTTTTATATCCCCTGTTGACTGGTCATTACAGTAGCTTTTCAGTCTAATGAAATCTACAGTCATAGGAATGGATCTGTCACTATTTCTGTTCAGTGCTTTAATGTAATCCAGCAGGTCAGCAAAGAATTTATAGCCCCCCTTGAGCACACAGAGGGCTACGATGTGATGGTTTCCCATCTCCTTCATCACATCTCGTGCAAGCCGTTCCGTCCTGTCCATAATTAATCCATGAGGAATAAACACCTTTTCCAAATCCTGAGCATAATGATTAGGTATACAAAATAAATCTAGGTCATAACCTGATTCATCATCACTAATCACAATGCTGGGGCTCCGCGTTGCCATAATGGAGCTGGCTGGTGCGTGGACTGAGGGCAGTTCTCTTCTGTATTACTTTTAGTTTTTAAGTTCTTAAAGTTTTTCAAGCTTGGTAAGTTCCTGATAGATAAACAGGGATTTTTTTTTAATAACAAGAAAATGTAGATTTAAAAAGTAACATACTTATGATTTACTCTTTGAAAAACATAGATATCAACAATTTTAATTTTTTTAACGTTTATTTTTGAGAGAGAGAAAGAGCATTAGCAGGGGAAGGGCAGAGAGAGAGGGAGACACAGAATCTGAAGCAGGCTCCAGGCTCTGGGCTGTCAACACAGAGCCCGTTGCAGGGCTCGAACTCACAAACCAGGAGATCATGACTTGAGCCAAAATCAGATTGGATTTGGCCACCCAGGCGCCCCAACAATTTTAATAGCTACATAATATTTCATCATACTGAAGTATCAATCTATGATTTTGAAATAAAAATTGTTTATTCCTGATAAATTTTAAATGCTAAACTCATGCAATTTTTAAAAAAATTCTAGAATACAGAAATTGAGATGTAAAACTTTGTAAAGCTTATTTAAAAATAATGGTATAGTAGGGGTGCCTAGGTGGCTCAGTCGGTTAAGCATCCAACTCTGGATTTCAGCTCAAGTCATGATCTCAGGGTTTGTGCGATCAAACCCCAAGTTGGGCTCCACACTGACAGCTGAGCCTACTTGGGATTCTCCCTCTCACTCACTCCTTGCCCCTCCCCTGCTTGCATGTATGCTCTCTCTAAATAAATAAACTTAAAAAAATAAAGATATAGTATTATCATATTGTTGAATAACCTACTTTTCTTACTTAATATATAATAGGTTTGTTATGCCAACTTGACAAGCAAATTCTAAAATTTTTATGGAAATACAAGTGCCAAGAATAGCGAAAAACACTCCTGAAGAAGAACAATGTGGAAGGACCTGTTCTACTGGATATCAAACTATAGTAATTAAGACAGAAGCTAATATGATAAATGGTAAAATTCTAAAGACTATAACAATAAAGAAAAGTTAACTTTTTTATGGAAGAGGGAATTAGGATCAGCTGAGGTGAAAAAGTGAGGACTTCCGGGTGCTGACAACATTCTTTTTCTTGACTTGAGTACCTAGGGATTCACTTTATGATTATTCATTAAACTGTACAATTGCATTTATGAACTTTTCTGTATTCACACAGTAATTTATTTAAAAAAAAAGGTTTAAAATATGTAAAACATCCAGCACATAGTAGATACTCAATTAAAGGTAGCTACTATTGACATTTAAAAAAAGAGAGAGGCAGTGGATTTGTGACAATCTCCAAGAAATACAGCTAACTGCATGGAAGCAGAACCACATGTGTAGCATGCTCCATCACTAGTTTTAAAACAGGGATATACATCCTGTATATGAATATGAATAAAACCGCACTAGAAGACTACACAAGAAAGTGGTGACAGTGGTTACTTTTACCAGTGTAGAGGGACAAGGCTGGGGATGGGGTGGTAGGCAGACTTATTTTCATTGTATATTACATGTTGTACCCTTCTAATTTTATACTATGTACTTACATTTCTGATTTTATTTTTATTTAAGTATTTAAGTACTCTCTACACACGATGTGGGGCTCGAACTCACAAGCGCGAGATTGAGAGTCTCATGTTCCTCTGATGGAGCCAGCCAGGCACCCCTATATTTCCTAATTTTTAAATGTAGAAATTTAGAATACATATCGAATATTACCACTCAGATTCTACAGAGGTAGCTCTTTATACTTGGTATCTTATTTTACTTCAAAAGACAATTTAAAACAGAAGAAGTAAAGCATTTTCTGTATAAAACCAAAAGGCTTTACAAGTAATCAAATACTTTTATCGTAACAACAGCCTTGTTGTTGAGGCAAAATTATATACATTTTACAGATTAGTACATTTTACAGATTAGTAAACAGAGCCTCAGAGAGATTAAATTACTTGCCCTAAATCATAGCTAGTTAAGTGACAGAACTGGAACTCTAGTTTTTATGCTTTCAAACTCCATGGGCTTTTCTATCATACTATCTGACACTGCATGCCCTCCTAAATGCCTTCCACTAAAACAAACAAAAAAAAAAAGTGAAGAGTAGAAGATGCACTGCTTGTAACTTTTCATTTTGTGTGGGGAAGGTTCCCTATTAATTATAAAATTCTTAAAAAAAAAAAGTCAATACAAAGAAGGAGACTTAATTGCATAGCACACTGCACTTTCAAAAGCACAAAAAAATGCTACATGATTTATACCTAGTATTGTTCCTGGCTCAGGTGTTAGGGAGATACTTTTGTTTTACTCCTGAGTTGTTTAATGAAGGTTGAGAAATTATTCCCACTCCCTTTATAAAAAAGGCATCTGGGTGGCCAATGTAAGAAAGTAATTGGATATAGCACTTTTAAAAGCATTTCCAAAAATCTGTCAAATTCAACATAAACCACCAAATATTATTTCCCATTGAAAGAAACCTTGAAAATTGACACTCAGGAGGTGGTTTTCTTGAAGGGCTTCTAAAATTTCTTCTCACAGGGGTACCTGGCTGGCTCAGTCAGAAGAGCATGTGACTCTTGATCTCAGAGTCATGAGTTCAGGCCCCACATTGGTGAAGACTAAATAAATAAGCTTAAAAAATATTTAAAAAAAAACATAAACCCATCTTCTCATAGTATATTCATATGATTAATAGCCTCCCTATTATTCTACAACTTTCCAAACACTTTCACATACAGTAGCTCATCTAATCCTAACAAGCCAATAAGACAGGACAGAAATCCCTGACATTCAATAGATGAAGAAACTGAGACTCTGGTAGGCTAGTTTTTTCCAAGGTTAAGTGCTTTAACTCTTAGCTGAATATTCTCACCAAAAACGGATGTGGAAAATTCTCAATTACCAGGGTCTAAACATTCAATTTGTCAGTTATATAAGCCTTTTCCTCTTCCTTCCTGTTCTGTGCCTTTAATTCCCTTTCAGACAGGAACATTTAGGAACTAAATGACAATGACATCCAATCTTAATCAATCCTAGCTCTGCTTAGATTTCTGAGATCAGATGGGAAATAGAAATCTATTTTCTTATCCATAGGAGCACAAGTGAAGCGAGCTGGTTTAAACTACTGGATAAAGGGCGCCTGGGTGGCACAGTCGGTTGAGCGTCCGACTTCAGCCAGGTCACGATCTCGCAGTCCGTGAGTTCGAGCCCCGCGTCGGGCTCTGGGCTGATGGCTCAGAGCCTGGAGCCTGTTTCCGATTCTGTGTCTCCCTCTCTCTCTGCCCCTCCCCCGTTCATGCTCTGTCTCTCTCTGTCCCAAAAATAAATAAACGTTAAAAAAAAAATAAAATAAAATAAACTACTGGATAAAAACCTACATTTGTCTATCACTCATTACCAAAATATTTGCAAACTATGTAACTCCCCTATATCCTAAGCAAGATACAAATCTTGGGGTGCCCGGGTGGCTTGGTCAGTTAAGCACCCAACTCTTGATTTCAGCCCAGGTCATGATCTCACAGTTTGTAGGATCGAGCCCCAAGTGGGGCTCTGTGCTGACAGCATGGAGCCTGTTTGGGATTCTCTCTCTGCCTCTCTGTCCTGCCCCTGCTCATGCACACATTCACTCTCTCTCTCTCTCAAAATAAATAAACCAACAGTAAGAAAAAGATACAAATCTTATAAACCCAAAGCTCAGGATGACAATCTAGACTACAGAAATTAAAAATCAAATTGCCAAAGCTCAAATCCCGGATCCCTATCTTCTCAGCTGTGTGAACTCCTGGGCAAGTTTCTTTACCTCTTGGGTCTTCAGATTCCTTAGCTCTAAAATAAGGATAAAAAAAAATGCTTTCATAAAAAGTAAAAGAGATAATGCACATAAAGTGTTTAACACAGTGTCTGGTACTTAAATATATATAATTTGGCACCGATACTATTATTGGCATTAACATTCAGGAAACTAGATTTACCTATGTGCTTTTCTATTCAATCCATAAATGATCAGTTTGGATATACTACACTACAACCACCAATATACTCGTTCCCTTTGGAAGTTAGTTAGCTATCACTTCTCTAAATCTTAAAAAAGACAGAGTTGCAGAAGATTACTCCATCAATCAAGGACAAGGCTGAAATTAGGAGCTTTGTTTTAAATGGATGTTATACATACAAAATTTGCTTGAAATGGTATGAAGCTGTAATGTGGCTGAATAGTGACTTCTATCCTGATAATGAACTGATGCAACCTACAGAGGGTCAGTGTCACAGCAGTATTACAAGCCCTGTTGTAAGATGGGTGATGCAATTTCTATAGTCAATTCTGAGTCACCAGCATAACCTTTCAGAAGCACTGAAGGAGAAAGGAAAATTCTTGAGTACTGACTCCTAGGCATCCTAGGAAACTGTATGTAAGAGGTCTCAATGCTATGTGAACATGGTATTGTGCATACCCATGAATCTCAAAAATACATCTAGTGGGAAATATACTGGAGCCATCAGTTCCTGACTGTGACAATCTCCCATGCATTTTCTGTAAGCACCTCAAAATATCTTGTATTAGGCCTTTGGGTCTGTCGATAGCAGGTCCTCCAAAAAGATTTGTTGAATGAATTAAGTACTTAAAAAAATTGTTAGGAGCATTGGCTACAGCGCCAAGCTGACTTGGATATCAATTCTATCTCCATCACTCACCAGCTATACAACTTTAAGCTAATAATTTAATATTTCAGTCTCAATTTTCTCATTTGGAAAATGGGAAATGCCAAGTATTAAACTGAAAGACACAGGAAACAAAACAATGCTTGGCACATAGTGAGCCTAAAGTAAACAGTAGCCTCTATTATTTTTTGCTACAGGATGGCTATACAAGAGTAAAGCAATATCAAGACATCTCTATCAGATGGATTTAAGCACAATCTGACCTCCTCTAGGAAGAGTGAAGTTAGAAAGGCATCAAGAATAAAGGCTCAGGAAGGCCTTGCAAACGATAACCCAAGCCACAAAGGGAAAAGATGGGCAGAGTAGGGGAAAGCAAGGGGTGCCAAGCTAGAAAAATGATACATCGCAGGGTGTGAGCGATGGCATTAGTAAGCTCTTCAGGACAGGGTTGCCACACTGGGGTGGGGACTCAGGACGAGGAGGCAGTTACTTTGGCCAGGCCTGTGACTTACCGTGGGGCAGGGCAATGTGGAGAAAACCTGGTATAGACAAAACTAGTTGGCTAGGGAGAGCAGGGCCGACAAAACTGGCTAAGAGCCACGATCCGCAGCTGGGCGGTGCTCCGGCCAGGCCTCCGCTCGAGGGCTGCGGGCCGGAGAGCAACAAAAGGCCCTGAGGCTCGGACACTCCAGAACCGTAGTAGCTATAAAGGACAGAAAAGTTTTTTTCTGAGGTAATCACAGCATCTACGCTGAGACCTGCCTGCCTGGGACGGGATGGAGGCTGGAAGAAGGAACAGACGCTTCCCGCTTCGAAATGAGGGACGAAGGATGGACAAGAGGGCAGCGGAAAAGGAGAAGCAAGGACTCAAATCCCACCGCCTCGGGGGAATCACGCACTCCAGACTGGACAGGCCCCCGGGGCCCAGCCTGAAGGCGGGACTTCTGCAATTACCGGCGGAAACGGCCTCCGGGTGAGAGGTCGCATGACGGACAGGCAGCTGCTGAACCAATGGGGCCTATGCTTGGGGAGGATGTTGCCTTCCGTTGGTGACTGTTGGGCGCGACCAGCAGCCAATGAGCCAGCCGGGGGGGCGTAGCGGTGACGTTAGCTGCGGAGGAGGCCGCTTCGAATCGGCTGCGGCCAGCTTGGTGGCCTGGACCAATCAGCGGCCTCCAACGAGCAGGGCCTTCGCCAATCGGTGGCCTCCACGACGGGGCTGGGGGGAGGGTATATAAGCGGCGTCGGCGACGGCGCGGTCGACGCTGGCCGAGACATCACAGATTCAACGGCTTGGGAGGTTTCGTGAATCTGAGAGGTAAGCGCCGCGGCCTGCCTTTCCGGACCTGCCCTTCGCGTTTCCAGCTGCCCCTGCTCACCCCGGGCCCTGTACCCTCAGATCAGTAACCTCGGTGCGCCCCCGTGCAGCGGCCTGTCGTTGGATTGCCTCTGAGGTCCTGCCTGCCTGCTGACCGACTGATTGGCCTACGGCGCCGGCAAGATGAAGCTGTCCCTGGTGGCTGCGGTGCTGCTGTTGCTCGGCGCGGCGCGGGCCGAGGAGGAGGACAAGAAGGAAGACGTGGGCACGGTGGTCGGCATCGACCTGGGGACCACCTACTCCTGGTAAGTGGGGTTTGTGGAAAGGGGGGAATGGGGCGTGGTCTCCTGGGCTGCTGTGAGGATCGCAGTGCTGATTCTTTCCGTTCTTGGTGATTTTTCCGCCAGCGTCGGGGTGTTCAAGAACGGCCGCGTGGAGATCATCGCCAACGATCAGGGCAATCGCATCACGCCGTCTTATGTGGCCTTCACTCCTGAAGGGGAGCGTCTGATCGGCGATGCAGCCAAGAACCAGCTCACCTCCAACCCTGAGAACACAGTCTTCGACGCCAAGAGGCTCATCGGCCGCACATGGAACGACCCATCTGTGCAGCAGGACATCAAGTTCTTGCCTTTCAAGGTCCGACGGGGTTTTTGTCACCCGGATAGAAAGTGGGTGGTGGTGGGAGTATTTAGGATTAATAAGCTACTGAAAAATTGTTGAGATAACAAAAAGGATGCGAACATGGTGTATATGTAATAATTTTTATTGAGTAATCTTAGTATGTTACAAAACTTAGTAAAGTAAGCTTGGCGTACAAAGAAATGTCACACGTAACTATTTGTCTGCATCGTTTAGTATTGATAGCCTGATTGAAACTGAATATGCTTGCCTTCGTAAGGCACTCCTCATGCTCCTTAAGTGTTGCTGGTCACTGTTTAGCTCCAAGCAACCAAAGTAAACCAAATAATGGGGGAGGAAGTGGGCCTCAGACCATCCTCTTCATTTAGAGTTTTGAATGTTCTTCTGTCTGAAAATAATAATTCATTCTTTAAAATAGGTGGTTGAAAAGAAAACTAAACCATATATTCAAGTTGATATTGGAGGTGGGCAGACAAAGACATTTGCTCCTGAAGAAATTTCTGCCATGGTTCTCACTAAAATGAAGGAAACTGCTGAGGCTTATTTGGGAAAGAAGGTAAATATTTCTAGAACAGTGTTAAGTAATTTTGTTTTTACTGTTGATTGTGTTGCGTAGATGCCTTCATTGGTTTAATAATTAGAATCTGAATATCTGTGTATTTCAGTTTTAGTTGTTTGTATGTCTTACTGTAGGCCAAACAAAATAGGCACTTTTCACGTGTTATCACTTAATGCTTGCAAGTCCATGGTATGAGATGATGTATGTTGTATCTAACAAACTGTGTTAGAAACTAAAGCGAAGGTTTGAGTGCAACATATATGAGTTAAACAATGTGATAAAATACACTTAATTATCTTTTGTTATTCTCTTAGGTTACCCATGCAGTTGTTACTGTACCAGCCTATTTCAATGATGCCCAACGCCAGGCAACCAAAGATGCTGGAACTATTGCTGGATTGAATGTTATGAGAATCATCAATGAGCCGTAAGTGTTAAACTCAGAAGTATGGTGTATTTGCCAAATAGGGATAATGTAAACTTAACTAAACTTTTTTTTTTTTTTCTTCTTTTTCATTCTCTTAATAGTACAGCAGCTGCTATTGCTTATGGCTTGGATAAAAGGGAAGGGGAAAAGAACATCCTGGTGTTTGACCTCGGTGGTGGAACTTTTGATGTGTCGCTCCTCACCATTGATAATGGTGTCTTCGAAGTTGTGGCTACTAATGGAGACACTCACCTGGGTGGAGAAGACTTTGACCAACGTGTCATGGAACACTTCATCAAGCTCTACAAAAAGAAGACAGGCAAAGATGTCAGGAAAGACAACAGAGCTGTGCAGAAACTCCGACGTGAGGTAGAAAAGGCCAAACGGGCCCTGTCTTCTCAACATCAAGCAAGAATTGAAATTGAGTCTTTCTATGAAGGAGAAGACTTCTCTGAGACTCTGACCCGGGCCAAATTTGAAGAGCTAAACATGGTATGTTCCTTGTTTTTTGCTTTGCTAACGAGATTTAGTTAGACTCTGTTGGGGACACTGCATTTAGCTATTTAGACAGTATCTAGGTGTAATAGGCATCATCACAGTAATTGTTTCCTATTCTAGGACCTGTTCCGTTCTACCATGAAGCCTGTCCAGAAGGTGCTGGAGGATTCTGACTTAAAGAAGTCTGATATTGATGAAATTGTTCTTGTTGGTGGCTCTACTCGAATCCCGAAGATTCAACAACTGGTTAAAGAATTTTTCAATGGCAAGGAGCCATCCCGTGGCATAAACCCAGATGAGGCCGTAGCATATGGTGCTGCTGTCCAGGCTGGGGTACTCTCTGGTGATCAAGATACAGGTAAGTCAGTGTCACAGCATCTTGCACAGTATTTCAATAGCTTGATAGAAAGAGTATAATTACTTATTGCTTTAGAAAGCAAGAGAGTATGTATAACAAGGTCATACAGCTGGTAAAGGGTAAAGTGAGGACAAGACCTGGCTCAGTTTCAAGATCCTTAGCAATTACATTTAATTTACTGCTTCCGAAATGATTTTGCATACAACCTCTCATTAAGTGGCAAGATGGAGAAGATAAAGTTACATAGTTCATGGGGAGACTGCTTGGTAGTGCCTCTGTGACTCAAATTAGAACTTAACCTTGGTTAATTTACCTTTGCAGGTGATCTGGTACTGCTTGATGTATGTCCCCTCACACTTGGTATTGAAACTGTGGGAGGTGTCATGACCAAACTGATTCCAAGGAACACCGTGGTGCCTACCAAGAAGTCTCAGATCTTTTCTACGGCTTCCGATAATCAACCCACTGTTACAATCAAGGTCTATGAAGGTGAACGACCCCTGACCAAAGACAATCACCTTCTGGGAACTTTTGATCTGACTGGAATTCCTCCTGCTCCCCGTGGGGTCCCACAGATTGAAGTCACCTTTGAAATCGATGTGAATGGCATTCTTAGAGTGACAGCTGAAGACAAAGGTACAGGCAACAAAAATAAGATCACAATTACCAATGACCAAAATCGCCTGACACCTGAAGAAATTGAAAGGATGGTTAATGATGCTGAGAAGTTTGCCGAGGAAGACAAAAAGCTCAAGGAGCGCATTGATACTAGAAATGAATTGGAAAGCTATGCCTACTCTTTAAAGAATCAAATTGGAGATAAAGAAAAACTGGGAGGTAAACTCTCCTCCGAAGACAAGGAAACCATGGAAAAAGCCGTAGAGGAAAAGATTGAATGGCTAGAAAGTCACCAAGACGCTGACATTGAAGATTTCAAAGCTAAAAAGAAGGAAGTGGAAGAAATTGTTCAGCCAATTATCAGCAAACTCTATGGAAGTGCAGGCCCTCCCCCAACTGGTGATGAGGAACCAGCAGATAAAGATGAGTTGTAGACATTGCTCTGCTAGTGCTGTAATATTGTAAATACTGGACTCAGGAACTTTCGTTAGGAGAAAATTGAGAGAACTTAAGTCTCGAATGTAATTGGAATCTTCACCTTGGAGTGGAGTTGAAAATGCTATAGCCCAAGTGGCTGTTTACTGCTTTTCATTAGCAGTTGCTCACATGTCTTGGGGGTGGGGGGGGGAGGAAGAATTGGCTATCTTAAAAAGTGGGTAAAAAAGCTGAGTTAACGGCGTGTGTTCATCTTGGAAATGTTCTATTTAACAATTGGGTCATGCGCATCTGGTGTAGGAACTTTTTCTACCATAAGTGACACCAATAAATGTTTGTTATTTACACTGGTCTAATTTTTGTGATAAGCTTCTAATTAAGTCAGTTGCTTCAAGGTCACATTCTTACTTGGTGGGGTTTTGAGGTAAAGAAACCTTTTTATTTAGTTGTTTCAGGGATCTTGCCCTAACGTTAATTTAAGAAAGGGGTGGAAAAGGTAAGAAACATTCTTACCTAGGCAAGAGTCTTCACATGCCCAAGAGCAGAATTTTCTTGAACATAGTCGAAATTTCCAATTTCCCCTTACCTTTAAAACTTTCTGGGGGCTTTTTATTACTAATAATGCTTTGTAGCTGCTAGAATTCGTTGAGACTTGCTATGAGTGATGGATCACTGATGTTAACTTTATACACTGAGATTCAGTTCATAATTTTAGGATATAAAGTATTTTATTATTTTTTATAAAAGTATATTTTAAACTCCCACTATGTCAGAATCTTCATCTCTGAAATTTCTTACTAGTTGTCTGGAGTGGGGTCTAGGATGGTGAGAAATTACTTTAAGCCCTATTACAACTGTGGATCAAAGGTAGTCATTTGTATCAAGGGAGGTTCAAGATTACTTGGATTGGCTTCCTGAGGGAAAAGGATGATCTAGATAAATGATTTTACATGATCGAAAAGGGCAGGCTCTCTGGTGCTGATATGAAACTCAATACTGCCCAAGGATAGATATTTTATGGGGTGGGCAATGGGCTAAAAGGTTAATTTTCTAACGTGTCAGAACTGGAACCTGATGGCATGACTTTTTAGTCGGAGGCCCACACTTCTGCAGTGCCCCAGAAGCATTTGGACAAGCATGGAGTATAATACCAAGGACGTTCAGGCCAAGTTCAATACAACGGTTAAAAGTGACCTGCAGTGCTGTATGTTGTGGGGTTAGCAGGTGGTTAGGAAAGACAAGGGCCAGTCTTCATCCCTGTTCCCAGTGGCTCTCACATGCCAACAGGCTGCACCTCTTTGTGGAGAGCAGCTACTAGATGAATACTAGAAAGATAGGCTTCAACCTGTAAATGTCCACACTATGGTTTCTACAACTTAATTCTCCAACATTTTTGTGATCAGTATCTTGACCAATCACACTTACCACCTAGGTTGTATTGCTGGTAAAACCCTTTATATAATAGAGGTTTTTGCACTGGGCTATCCATTTCTTCGCCTCCCAAATTAGGTAAGAGTTAGAGGGATATATAGTGCAGAAAATATTTTGGAGGTATAAAATAGCTAAGGTTTCATTTAACTTCCCTGAAAAGTTGTCATTTAATAAAAATGTGGGATTAGTCAACTACAGTCACAATACAGTCACTATAGATTTCCCCTTCTGTATTCATCCCGCCGAACACAAAACAAAGCAGTGTGTCAGTCTGACTTTCCTCGTGTGAGTCACCACCTTGGGTCACTCCTTTGCTGGCGGAATCCCCTTTCTCAGCATCACAGTTCAGAGTGAGAGAATTGGAATCTTCTTCCTCAGAAGTACACATCACTGGCCATGGAATGACACACATGGAATGATCCAATCGTCCAGGGGGGAGAGAAGTATCAAATTTAAGCAAGGTCCAATGCTGCTTTTCTGTGTTAGAAAAAACAATATACACAAAGGCTCTGCGTCAAAAAATTTCCAGAAATGCTCAGTGATTTGCTGTTATCACTAAGTACTAGCAGAAATAAGAAATAAAAGGAAAAAAAAAATCTATTGGCAGTGTTACTGCTTTCATGACGTCATTCCCTATAAGTCTGGTTTTCATTCCTTTGGGTTATTATTTTTGACAGAGCGGGGGAGAGTGTGTGCATGTGTGCAGGGGAGGGGCAGAGGGAGAGGGAGAATTATTTTTAAGTTTTGGGTTTTTTTTTTTTAATTTATTTACTTTGAGAGAGACTGCAAGCAGGGGAAGGGCAGAGGGAGAGAGGAAGAATCTCAAGCAGGCTCTGTGCTGTCTGTGCAGAGCCTGACACGGGGCTCAAACTCGTGAAACTTTGAGATCATGACCAGAGCCAAAATCAAGAGTCAGACACTTAACCCACTGAGCCACCCAGGCACCCCCGATTCCTTTAGATTTAGATGCGGAGGGACCAAAATGAAAAACTAAAGCGCTGTGATACTTTTCAAAGAATGGTCACATTAGTTTAAAGATCCACAGTGAACACCTGCTCACCTATGTGATACCGATGCATTGTGTCCAGTGCTCCTGTGGGAGTCATCCCTCCAAAGATGTACAGGTGTTTCCCCACAGCCACAGCTGAGTGGGCAGCACAGGCTGCGGGAGATGCCCCCGTGGGACTTAGCTGCTGCCATTTCATCTCATCTGCCAAGAGAAAGTGGGTACAACATGGCCTAGAATATGGATTCAACCTTACTTGTCAGACTTTTGTAGTTTGCAAACCAATCACTGAAGCTCATTCACCAAGCACTCTGAGAAGTATTACAAGGTTTATTACTTGGGGGAGCTTGAGATTCTGTTTGGGTGGTCCGGGGAGGGAGGAGAGGCTCCGGAATCTGTAGTTTTAAAGCACCTCAGGTAATTCTGAGGTAAGTGGTCTTTGGAGCCCACTGAGTGATACTGTCTTTGGTGACTCACCATTTACTATTTTGGAGTCCACAGGAGGGGAGTTCCATGTCTGCGTGTGTGCATTTTAAATGTTGGCAGTTCCTTAGCAACTCTGTGAGTGCTGGCTAGACACTAAATATTTTGCTCGCTTAATTCTCCTAACAGCCCCATGAAACTGCTATTACTTCTGTCTACCCTCGTTCTTACATTTGAGGAAATGGAATTAAAGAGGGCGAGGCTTGTCCGAGATCCCACAGCTAGCAAGCAGCACAGCTATGATACTCAGGTCTGACTCTAGAACCCGTGTTCTCTCCACCGTAATGTGCTGCCTCCAACACCTACTCCCAACCTATTTGTGCAAGGATATTTGTGTCTTTTCAAACAAGCATTGAAATGAGGCAAGATATTACTGGATTTTAGGTTTAGAGAATTACTAGAGTAGGAAAGGAAGAGAAATTAACCAGGAAGTAGCTCCTCAGCACAAGGAAATAGGACTTTTTTTTTTTTAAGTTTATTTTGGAAAAGAGAGCACAGGGGTGCACGAGTGCATGTGAGTAGGGGAGGTGCAGAGACAGAGGGAAATAGAGAAACCCAAGCAAGCATAGTGATTTGCTGTCCGCTGCGGGTTCGATCCCACGGGTTCAATTCCACGATCAGTGAGATCAAGACTTGAAATCCAGAGTTGGACCGCTTAACTGACTGGGCCACCCAGGCACCCCAGGACTTTCTTTTTTCTAAATAAGCATTACAACCCCAGCTGACCGCTGCAGGGAACACTTCCGTGAAGATGTTTTCCATTTGTCACTTCAAGGCAGGGGCCCAGCATCTCAGGGCTGGAAGGGAGAATGACTCAGCCGAGCCAAAACTCTAGCCAATATAAGAATCCCAGCCAGTGTCACTTGGCCTCAGATGTCACCAAGCCAGAGAACTCATTGTCGGGCAAGGCAGCCCAACACACTGAGCAGCAGTTCTCATGCCTTCTGCCCACAGCTCCAATTCTTATAGTCTAGGGCAATGCAGAACATGTTCATTTGCTTGTCTGTCCACCCAAGATACACACTCATCACCTGCAATCTGCCAGATACTGTGTTAAAGTGCTGGAAACATACCGGGGAAACAGAAAAAGCCTCTGCCCTAAGGGAGCTCATCATCTAAAAGAATAACCCAGAATGAGTCCAGGATCTCTAAGACATGTCAGCCCTTCAGACACTGAAAGACGATTCTCACATTCTCCCCAGCTTTCCTCTTCCAGGGGTTTTTAACCATTTAGCATGGCAATTCTGGTCCCCAACACCCAGACATACTCCGAGGACACACATATCCCTCATGGGCATAGGGTTAATGGCTAATGGCAGTCAGGGAATCCAGTCAGGGAACACAAAGCATAATGAGTTTTAATGAAAGAGCAAGGTTGTTGGAAACATAAGAGATAACTAATGGCTGGTACATAGCAAGTACTCAGAAAATTATTGCTTTTATTGGTATTATTATTTATTATTATTTAGGCCACATTTGCCAGAAATCTAGCCAAGATTCCACTGGCTGGCCAAATTACCCACACTTAAGAGCAAGGCTATATTCTATCAAAGTATATTTTATTTCATTTTAAGCAGATAACTGCCCATGCCCTCTACCCTACTTACTTATATCAATGCAGTGGAGATCATCATAGAATTTGTCCCCTGCCAAGCCTCCATGGATGAAGAGCTTTGTCTCTGCTGCCACCATCACATGACCATGCCGGGGGGATGGAGGTTTTCCAAGGGTCTCTGGCTGTGACCAGGTCAGAGTGTCTAGAAAAGTAGTCATTGGCATCAGATGAAAAAGCTATGAAACCAGAACATGAGAAATACACCCAAGCTTCACTCCCCAGCAAGCAGAGACGCTGAAAGCAAAAAGTGACCTGGGGACATTCACTCCAACTTGCCAACTCAGTCCAGACCTCCTTCCTTCTACGACCTGTAGAGCCTCTGCTTGGACACTTTCAGGGCTGGAGAATTCACTACCTACCACGCCTGCCCATTCTACTGGGCTTTAGGAAACCATTCCTCGCTTTGAATTTAAAAAGACCTCCTTTAAGCTTCAACCTGGAACTGCAGCAAAATTAAAAAGAATAGTCTGCTTCTTCTGTGACAGGCCTCAGAGTCTTTTTTTTTTTTTTTTTTTTTCCAAGACAATACCCTTAATTGACTTGCTGGAAGCATGGGAAAATAAGGCTACTTTTGAAGTTAGCAGGGCCTGCTGGAGCAGCAGTATAGGATAACAGACCAGGGAAGTTGGAGTGAAAACTGGGTCATTTCACTGAATAACTTCGTGGCCTTGCACCAGTTAATTCTCTAAGCTCTAGCCTCTACAGTTGTAAAATGAGGATAGAGATAATACCTCCTTCTCAGGGTTGAAGTATGCATCAAGTGAGATAAGCACAGAGAAAGTATTCAATACATGAGAGTTTGTGTGAGAATTACTGTTTGTGGTATGCCTGAAGGTTGTGCACGGAGCCCCACCATTCAAAGGAATACAATCCGAAATAATCTGAAAAAGGTTTATGCATGAACACGTTCATCACGGCATTGTTTGTAATAAAGAATGGAAAATAGCTTAAGTGCACAGACAAGTGAATAGTTGTTATTGCTACAGTCATGACAGAATACTGTGCATTTATTTAAAATGTTGAAGAGTGGAGGGGTCCCTGGGTGGCTCAGCCGGTTGAGCTTCTGGCTCTTGATTTCCTCTCAGGTCATGTTCTCACAGGTTTGCGAGTTTGAGCCCCATGTCAGGCTCTGTGCTGGTAGTGCAGAGCCTGCTTGGGATTCTCTCTCTTTCTCCCCTCCCCCACTCACCATCTTTCTCCCTCTGTCTCTCTCTCAAATAAATAAATAAACTTAAAAAAAAAAAGCAAAAAAAAAAATATCGAAGATTGGGGCGCCTGGCTGGCTCCGTTGGTAGAGCATGTGACTCTTAATCTCAGGGTTATGAGTTCAAGCCCCATGTTGGGTGTGGAGCCTACTTAAAATAAACAAACAAATAAATAAATAAATAAAATTGTTGAAGACTTCATGATCACAGGAGAACTGTGCTTAAGTGAAAAATACAAGACACAAATATTACATATGAAATTATTTCTGCTTTTTTAAATTTTTATTTTTAAAAATATGTGTTGGGGCGCCTCGGTGGCGCAGTCGGTTAAGCGTCCGACTTCAGCCAGGTCACGATCTCGCGGTCCGTGAGTTCGAGCCCCGCATCAGGCTCTGGGCTGATGGCTCAGAGCCTGGAGCCTGTTTCCGATTCTGTGTCTCCCTCTCTCTCTGCCCCTCCCCCGTTCATGCTCTGTCTCTCTCTGTCCCAAAAATAAATAAACGTTGAAAAAAAAAATTTAAAAATATGTGTTAATGTTTACTTATTTTTGAGAGAGAGACAGAGCACGAGCAAGGGAGGGGCAGAGAGAGAGGGAGCCCCCAGAATCTGAAGCAGGCTCCAGGCTCCGAGCTGTCAGCACAGAGCCCCATGTGGGACTCGAACCCACAAACTGTGAGATCATGACCAAACCAAAGTTGGGCTCTCAACCAACTGAACCACCCAGGTGCCCCTATTTCTGCTATTTTTTAAAAAAATTTTAATTAAGTAAGCTCTGCCCCCAATGTGAGGCTTGAACTCATGATCCTGAGATTAAGAGTCACTATGTTCTCACGGTTTGTGAGTTTAAGCCCCACATAAGGCTCTGTACTCACAAGTGTGGAACCTGCTTGAGATTCTCTCTCTCCCTCCCTTTTTGCCCCTGCCCTACTCTCGCTCTCTGAAAATAAATAAACTTACGAAACCTTTTTTGAAATAAAAAGTGCTTTGAAAGAATTGCAAACACCATTCTTTCTGGAAAGAGAAAAGTCATACTATACTCTGTCTCCAGTCTTTCAATTTCACTTTATAAGTTTGAAATTTTGCTTACTGCATCTTCTCAACAAAAGGCTACATCTCTCTTAAAAAATACACACGAAAACTACTTTTGTCACATGTTATTTATAAATCGCTATTCATAAATACCTACTAGTAAGCCGAAGAAATGCAAGTAAATGTTCCTTATACAAAAATTTGACCAGAGGGCTCAAAATTCTAAATGTTTATATCATTTCACCCAGTAATTCCACTTCTCAGCATCTATTCCACATAAATGTTTGTAACACATACAAAAATTAATTTATGTTCACTGTGGCGCTGTCAGCAAAAAGTCAATCAGTAAGAAAATGACTGAATAAATAAGGAATACCCACAGGATATGCTCTGCAAGGAAACCGGTTGTGACTTAGAAGACATCCATGACGTATGATTAAATGAAGGGATGATAACACAGTTCATGTCCCTTAGGTGCCCCCGATATGCCAGGCACTGTGCTATGCACTGTATGACATTATCTTATTTAATCTTCCCAGTTCTTTTTAGTAGGGGCACTATTACCATTTCTATTTTACAGATCAACAAACCAAGACCTAGAAAGATTAACTAGTCACAAGTAATACAGGGGTGCCTGGGTGGCTCAGTCGATTAAACATCTGGCTCTTGATCTCAGCCCAGGTCTTGATCTCAGGGTTGTGAGTTCAAGTCCCATGTTGGGCCCCATGTCGGGCTCAGCACTGGGTGTGAAGCCTACTTAAAAAAAAAAAGCAATACAGAAAGTATGTGTCAGATCTGGTCCTGAGTCCAGGTTATGTGGCTACAAAGGGCATGTTTTCAATTACTAAGATTTAGCCTCACCCCCCTGCAAAAGTAAGCTATAGAACTGTATTTATTATCTGATTCCATGTATGTGTTTTAAAGTTTTTATGTAACTTCAAAATTCATAGAAATTTCATAAACGCATAAGAATGTCCGGAAGGAGACATTAGGAACTGCTAACAATGTTTACCTCTGTTTATGTAGTGGGAAGGAAAAGCTAAAGGGGAAACTCGTACTATTTTCTTTATAAATGACACTTTATGTTAAAGTGATCATTTATACCTTTTTAAATGCAAATTTTGCTGTGGGAAGAAGATATTAGCTAAGGGATACACCGAAGACATCTAGAAGAGAGACACTCAGACAAAGTGTCATTTTCTAACCTCTTCTTCCTACACCAGGTAAGCTGTAGGCCAGGGTGGCTCAGACCTGGTAAGTGGCAACCCTGGGGTGCCCTCCAGTCCATACTTGCGTCAAACACATGCAGCTTCACATCCTGCACAGGCTGGGCGCCTCTCTCTCCGCCCCCAAAGACATACAGCTGGTTTCCAATGGCTGCAGATGATGTGTGGAATGTTCTTGGGCATGGCGGGGGGCTGGTCACCTCCGGCATGGTCCAAGTCCTGGTTTCTGGTTTAGAGAGAGAAGGCAGTCACCTAAAATATCCAGGCTGATGGGCCTCTCATCTTGACTCTGAGGCCAGGCAGGGTTACCTTTCATACCCCTATCCCCAAGGGGGACAGCAAAGGCCTAGGCAGGATTCTTGTGCCACCAAAGTCAAGGAGGGGTAGCGGGTGATACTTACAATTTTCCCAGATAGAGGCAAATCCCCAAGATTGAAAAAGTCACACATGCAATTAAGAATGAGGTCGATTTGATTTTGGAGGCCTTCCTTCAAACGTCCTCTCTGAACGTTCTTCTGCTTTGCTGACTACCCTGCCCTGTGCCCATTCGGAGGAGACCAACATCTGCTAAAATGCATACCCACTAGAGGTGAGAACTAAATGTGCCAAATTACTCCAGACTATGTGGCACTAAAAGAAAGTAGACAAAGTTATCACAGTTTCAGTAGTAATAATAATAGTTCCTTATAAATAGTAAGTGCTAAGTAAATATTAGTTCTCCATTTTACAGATAAGAGAATTGAAGCAGAGACAGATGAAGTCATTTGTTTAAAATGACATGGCTAGGGGCACCTGGCTGGCTCAGTCAGTGGAGCGTGTGACTTTTGATTTTGGGGTAGTGAGTTTGAGCCCAATGTTGGGTGTAGAGATTTACTTAAAAAATAAAATCTTGGGGCGCCTGGGTGGCTCAGTTGGTTAAGGGTCCGACTTTGGCTCAGGTAGTGATCTCACGGTTCGTGGGTTTGAGCCCCGTGTTGGGCTCTGTGCTGACAGCTCGGAGCCTGCTTCAGATTCTGTGTCCCACTCTCTCTCTGCCCCTCCCTTCCTCATGCTCTGTCTCTCTCTCCCAAAAAGAAAATAAACAAAGGGGACAAAACAGAAGAGACTCATAAACATGGAGAACAAACTGAGGGTTGCTGGAGGGGTTGTGGGAGGGGGGATGGGCTAAATGGGTAAGGGGCATTAAGGAATCTACTCCTGAAATCATTGTTTCACTATATGCTAACTAGTTTGGATGTAAGTTTAAAAAAATAAAAAATTAAATTTAAAAAAATGATAAAATAAAATAAACATTGAAATTTTTTTTTAAAAAACAAAAAATAAAATCTTAAAAAAAAATAAAGGGACATAGCTAATAAATGGCTGACTTGGGATTCAAATTCCATCTTGATAACACCAAGATCTAGGTGTTTTTCCACTCGTCTGACTTGAGAATAAAATTTCACTACCTTAGGAGGTGCACAGAAGCTTATTTCTTTTTAGAGTGAAGCATGAGTTTTATAGAAACAGATGCGTTACATTGAGTATCTTCCTTGTGCAGAATCATTGCCCTTAACCTTCTGTCTTGTCATTATCCACTCAACTCTAGCAGGTGGCTGGAAAGTATCCTCATTTTGCAGATAAGGGAACTGAAGCTCGGAACATTCAAGTTCTTTCCCCCAGGTCACAGTGCTTGTGAGTAGCAGAGCAGAGGTTTGAACTCAGTTCTGTCAAGACTCCCACACTCGTGCACTGCAACACACCAGGGATTATTTCTCGTCTAGGAAATTCTGTGCCTTTTGGTTTTTTTTTTTTTTTTTTTTTTTTTGGGACAGAGAGAGACAGAGCATGAACGGGGGAGGGGCAGAGAGAGAGGGAGACACAGAATTGGAAACAGGCTCCAGGCTCTGAGCCATCAGCCAGGGAGCCCGGCAGCGGGGCTCGAACTCACGGACCGCGAGATCGTGACCTGGCCAAAGTCGGACGCTTAACCGACTGCGCCACCCAGGCGCCCCGTCTGTGCCTTTTGTAAAGGTCTTCATTCAGTACACAGAGTACCACAGGAAGCATCTGGAATATGTATTGGACTCAAACATGAACCTTGAGATGAAACAAGTCTCAGCCTATATCTAAAGCAAAATGTCATTATCTCTATAGCTACAGACCTTGGAGAGCTTTTGGATCTTGGGGGTGGGGGGTTAGTGGATGCTCAACCTCCAGGACCAGAAGATCCTGGGACTGTGTTGCTGCCAAGTCAAACGCTGGCACAAATAATCACAAAGGACTCCTAGGCCATTTGGCGGACCAGCCTTAGTAACAAAACAGCTAATGATTCACTCACATTTTTCCTATATCTTGGGCATGGTGTCAAATTATACTATCTAGGAGAGAAAACGGATCTGGTAGAAAATCAATTCCTCTGACAGACGCTTTCCAAATTCTCTGTATTTTATTCAAATGGATGCCATCGTTGAAAGTCAGAAGCCCAGGGATCCAGAAGTGATTTCCATCTGCCAAGCGACAGTTACATCAACCACCACCACCACAATTATTGAGCATTAACTATGTGCCAGATACTGAGTTTATTTGAATCCTTGCCAAACTTAACCAGGTAGAAACTATTACTATCCCCAAATGACAGAAGACCAACTGTCTGCAAACAAGCATCTTAGTGATAGAGCACTGGGCAAGAGTTGACTGGCATGTGAAAAATGTCCAGGTTGCTAATCGTTAACAAAATGCATAGTTAAAGAATTAGATATAAGCTTTTTGGGCTATCCAATTAGCAGTGTTTAAAAATGATAAATTCAGGGGCACCTGGGTGGCTCAGTCAGTTAATCATCTGACTCTTGGTTTCAGCTCAGGTCATGATCTCATGGTTGTGAGATAGAGCCCCACGTCGGGCTCCATGCTGGATATGGAGCCTGCTTGGGATTCTCTCTCCTCCCTCCCCTTCCTCTCCCCTGTTCACTGTCTCTCTCTCTCTCTCTCTCTCAAAAAAAAAAAAAAAAAAAAAAAAAAAAAAAAGATAAAATCAAGGGTGGCTGGCTGGCTCAGTCAGTGGGGCATGCAACTCTTGATCTCGGGGTTGTGAGTTCAAGCCCCACCTTGGGCATAGAGATTACTTAAGAATAAAATATTTTTTTAAAAAAGATAAATTCAAAGTCAGCCAGGAGTGAAAATGCACTATTAAACACAGCTGGAGAGAGAAGCAGTTGGAAAATTCTGGAGAGCAATTGGGTAGCATGTATCAAAAGTCTTAAAGTTCACAGTGTTTTGTTTTGTTTTGTTTTAGCACAACAAAGGAGATAGAAGTTTACTGAATATACCACAATGGAATGGCATGCGGAACAGCAGAGGAAAGGCTGTCAGGCTCAATTTTTATATAGTCTTTTTATTCCTAGGCATGAATTCTAAGCAAATAATTGTCAATGACTTCTGAGCAAAGATGTTCACTGCTTTGTTATTTATAATGGTGTAAATCTGAGAACCAAATGATGGTATTGTCACAAAATGGAGTATCATGCCGCCATTAAAGGTGATGTTACAGCAATGTCAGCAGGAAATAATTTCTGCAGTAATTATGAATTTTAAAAGAAAAAGGTACAACAGTGTGCTGGTGAAATAGTATGAACTCAGCCTTACAAAAATGCAGAGAAATAAAAGAAAGGAAGTACACAGAGATGTTCTCAGTAGCCTTAATGTCATAGGATTGTGGATGCCTTTTGTCCACTTATTTACACTTTCCAAAAATTTTTTTAATTTGCTTTCAATGTTTATTTAAAAAATTTTTTTAATGTTTATTTATTTTTGACAGAGAGAGAGAGAGAGAGAGAGAGAGAGAGATGGAGCATGAGCGGGGGAGGGGCAGAGAGAGAGGGAGACACAGAGTCCGAAACAGGCTCCAGGCTCTGAGCTGTCAGCACAGAGCCCGACGCGGGGCTCGAATTCATGGACCGCGAGATCATGACCTGAGCTGAAGTCAGACGCTCAACTGACTGAGCCACCCAGCTGCCCCCACTTTTCAAATATTTTAAAATGAATTTTATTTATTTATTTATTTATTTATTTACTTACTTACTTATATTTATTTATATATGTATTTATTTTTTGAGAGAGAGAGAGCCTGTGCTAGAGAGGGAGAGGGGTGGGGGGGGAGAGAGAGAGAAAATCTTAAGCAGGCCCTACACTCAGCACAGAACCTTATGTGCAGGGTCAATCCCAAGACCGTGAGATCATGACCTGAGCCAAAATCAAGGGTCGGATACTCAACCGACTAAGCCACCCAGGCGCCCCTTATTATATTTATAAAGAGAAAACAACAACAAAATTTTAATTATAATTTTTAACAAAAGACAAGTCCACCTCCCATGGGTGGTTCAGCAACAATCTCTTAGAAGAGATGTTCCCAAACTGCTTTGTCAGTGAGAAAACTGCCAGTGAGACTGGGTAGGAACTTTGCACTGTTTGGCTAAAAGAAACATAATAGGAGGATCTAGGTCAGGGTTTTCTTAACTTTGGCACTATTGGCTAGATACTAGATAATTCGCTATTCTGGGGGGCTGTCCTGGGCATTACAGGGGGGACAGCAGCACCTCTGGCCTCTGCCCACTAGATGCGAGTAGCAACTGCCCATGCTCCATGTTTGATCACCAAAAATGTGTGCAGACATAGCCAAATGTCCCCTGAGGGACACAATTGCCCCCAGTTAAGACCCCCTGATCTAGCTGACAGGTTCTAGGCTAGCTTAGTCACTGACTCTCTTAGGACTTTAGGAAAGTCACTTCCCCTGGACCTGGGTCGCCCACTTGGCATAACTGTTCTCTGAAGTTTCTTCCAGTTTTGGCTTTTAACAAATTGATAATTGCAAGTGTTATGAGATGAGGGGGTGGGGGAAACGCAATTCTGTTATTTTCAGATTTTGCCAGAAGTTAAAATCCCTGTTTTCTATGAGACCAGCAAGTTAAACAGATTATTCAGTACAATCCAAATGAGTTTTGCTATAGGAATTGGAATTGGCTTTCTTTAGGTAAATAAAAGAACCTTTGGCTACTTACCAGGATTTAGAACTTGTAGGCAATTTCGATTTCCTGACTGGTCAGCACCTCCAAACACCCAGATGGTATGAGGAGCACAAGAGGGAACAAAGCTGGCATGCTCGTACCGGGGCAAGAGGCCCTCCGAGGTGGCTAAATCCCACTGGTGTGTTCCTAGAAAACATTTCACTCAGTTCCTGCACTGGAACTGCCACTGTAGTTTATGTCAGTTGACAAACTTGGGGGAGAGTAGTGAGGAGAAAAAGTCGAAAGCATAACCACCACAACCATCAGATCACTGGCAGGGAATATGGTCAAATTCCAAAAAGTTCTATAATAGAATTTCGGGAGCTGTCTGCCTAGTCTATAAACCCTCCTCTATGGAAACTGTCCCCATTCTCCCAACCAGAGAGGTAGAGATCCCAGAAGATCTGTTTGTACTACACCTTGACTTTCTAGCTTCAGCTCATTGGGTCAAAGGTAGTTACTTGACCCCAAATGGGTCAATCAGATCTTCCCTCCAGAGAATCTGGAATTCAAACAGATTTCTGGATTTCTTCTTGCATGTATGGAGAAGCAGCTAAAGCCAAAGTATGGAGAAGAGAAAGAAAGAAACATCTACATAAAGAAGACCTTGGGGTTGTGGGAGGGGGGATGGGCGAAATGGGTAAGGGGCACTAAGGAATCTACTCCTGAAATCATTGTTGCACTATATGCTAACTAATTTGGATGTAAATTTAAAAAAATAAAAAATAAAACAAGTTAAAATTTAAAAAAAAGAAAAGAAATACCAAATAACTACAAAAAAAAAAAATCTCCTCAGAGATGAGGGAGGAGGTAGATGATCTCTGACAGTTTTCCAATTCCTGCTTCTACTCTCTCCTGAGTCTAGGCTTTATCTCCTTTGTTTAGATTCTTCACTTTTTTTGCTGGTTTAAGAGAGTTTCTGTTACCTGCAGCTAAATGATTTCTGGCTAAAACAAGCTCACAACTGCTCAGGGAAGTAAGACAGTAGCCCCATTTTATAGGACACTGAAGCCCAAATGGTTTACACAGGTTAACCAGAGTCACAAAGCTAGTAATAATAGGTCACACCAAAAATATAAGTGGACTACACAGCGAGTTTCTTGAGGGCTGGAAGAAATTTTAATTGCCTTTGAATTCCTAGTGCAGGGTGTAGGAATTCAAGTGCCTACATAGGAGGGAACGTGGCAAGTTGGGGGATGAGAACCCCATTTGATAGGCGGGGCAGCTCAGTGCCAAAAATCTGTTGCCATGTAGACATACAGGCCTACTGATGTCAGATCTTCCAAAAACATCAAGAGAAGCCAAACAATCTCAATTTTTATATGTAGACCCTTGTAAATTTGTTGGTAAACAACTTAGATTAAATCAGTAATAGCGACTTTGCATGGGCCTAACAAAACACGTATGGGGGTCTGCCATCGTGTAGAGCACATGGTGGTCACCATCCGTTTGTTTTCCATTCATCATCCATCTATCCAAATACTTAGAAAGCAACTACTCTGTGCCAGGTGCTATGGTAGTGGCTGGGGGTACAGTGATGAGTAATATAACCATGTTCCTTGTTTCCAAAGAGCTTATACTCCTGTGGGGAAGACAGATAAGAAATAATCACACGTGGTAAGAGCTGTGAAGTGGAATAAGGATGGGGAAGTACAGGATACTATGGAAATATAGAGGGTGGTTGTGACATTGTGATTTATATTAAGAAATATATATGTGATCTTGGGGCACCTGGGTAGCTCAGTCGGTTAAACATCTGACTCCTGATTCCAGCTCAGGTCATGATCTCATGGTTTGTGAGATCAAGCCCCGCATCTGTTGTCAGCACAGAGCCTGCTTGGGATTCTCCCTCTCCCCGTCTCTCTCTCAAAATAAATAAAAAATATAAAAAAGAAAGAAAGGAAGAAAAGAAAGAGAAAGAAAGAAAGAAAGAAAGAAAGAAAGAAAGAAAGAAAGAAAGAAAGAAAGAAAGAGAGAAAGAAAGGGAGGGAGGAAGGAAGAAATATATATGTGATCTCTATCAGTTCCAGGCACAGAGCTCTTAAAACCCTTAGAATTTCCCAAGTGATAAGATTGAAAAGGGTGTCTTTTATAAAAAGCCCCTGTCAACCACACCTGGATTTATGTTTATGAGGTGACTTCTGGAATGCCCTAAGGATGGGGGCTGGTTGCCAGGGGAACCAACCATATGATTAGAGGGTTGGAACTTTCACCTAGCCTCCCACATCCACCGCTGGGAAAGGCTGAATCAATCACCAATGGCCAGTAATTTAATCAATCATGCCTGCATAAAGAAGCCTCCAGAAAAAAACAGGTATTTGGTGAGCGTCCAGGTCAGTAACCACGAGGAGGTACTGGGAGGATTGTGCACCCTCAGAGTAAGGATGCTCTGTGCCCTTCTCCCCATACCTTGCCCTATGCATCTCTTCTATCTGGCTGTTCCTGAATTATATCCTTTTATAATAAAGCAGTAATCTAATATGTAAGCTATTTTCCTAAGTTCTGTAAGCCACTCTAGCAAATTAGTGGAACAGTAGGGATCATGGGACTCTCCAATTTATAGCTGGTAGGTCAGAAGCATAGGCAACAGGCTGGACTTGGGGTTAGTGTCTGCAGTGGGACAGGGGCAGGACAGTTCTATGGGACCGAGCCCTTAACCTGTGAGAATGTGATGCTAAGTCCAACTGGATCTTGTCAGAACTGAATCGAGTTGTAGGACACCCAGCGAGTGTTGCAGAATTGTTTGGTATGGGGAGAGACTCCCAGACGTTTGGTGGCCAGAAACAAAGTATTGAGACTAGTGCTGGGAGGAGTGACAGGAGTAGAGAAGGAAAACAGGATTTCTCCTTTCCAGTGGTACTGCCTAAACTAGCCCAGAAGTATCAGGGGAAGCTTTCTGATGGAAGTGGCAGTTAATGTGGGATCTGAAAGAGGAATAGTAGCCAGGTGATAAGGAAAGGGAAGAGCCTTCCAAGCAGAGGGAACTATAGGTGCAAAGGCTTGGAGGCCAGAATTTAAGACATGTTCAAGGAACTGAAAGATACTCAGGGTAGCAAATATGGGTTTGGGAGAGCCAAGAAAGGAGATGGGAAAGGCTTGAAATGTAGGAATGACATGGTCAGATTTGTATTTTAGACAATGCTGTCTAGGTATGGAAAATGCACGTATGGTGCATTTACGGGGTAAACTTGGAAGCAGGGAGACCAGAAAAGAGGCTGTTGTTATGTCCAGTTGAAGAGTAATAATGTTTAGGGGTACCTGGGTGGCTCAGTCGGTTAAGTGTCTAACTCTTGATTTTGGCTCAGGTCATGATCTCACTGTTCGTGGGTTCAAGCCCCTCACTGGGCTCTGTGCTGACAGTGCAGAGCCTGCTTGGGATTTTCTCCCTCTCTCCCTCTCTCTCTGTCCCCGCCCCCCCTCAAAACAAACAAACAAACAAACAAACAAACAAACAAACAAACAAACTTTAGGGGCTCCTGGGTGGCTCAGTTGGTTTAGCATCCGACTTCGGCTTAGGTCATGATCTTGCGGTTTGTGAGTTCGAGCCCTGCGTTGGGCTCGGTGCTGACAGCTCAGAGCCTGGAGCCTGCTTCAGATTCTGTGTCTCATCCTTTCTCTGCCCCTCCCATGCTCATGCTCTGTCTCTCTCTGTCTCTTAATAATAAATAAAAGTTAAAAAAAAATAAACAAACAACTTCAGAGACACCTGGGTGGCTCAGTCAGTTAAGTGTCTGACTCTTGGTTTCAGTTCAAGTCATGGTCTCATGGTCCTTGAGATTGAGCCCTGCAAAGGGCTCTTCACTGTCAATGTGGAGCTTGTTGGGATTTTCTCTCCTCTCTCTCTGGGCCCTTCTCCCTGGCTTGCTCGCTCTCTTTCAAAATAAATAAATCAACATTAAAAAAACTCTTTAGGGGCGCCTGGGTGGCGCAGTCAGTTGAGCGTCCGACTTCAGCCAGGTCACGATCTCGCGGTCCAGGAGTTCGAGCCCCGCGTCAGGCTCTGGGCTGATGGCTCAGAGCCTGGAGCCTGTTTCCGATTCTGTGTCTCCCTCTCTCTCTGCCCCTCCCCCATTCATGCTCTGTCTCTCTCTGTCCCAAAAATAAATAAACGTTGAAAAAAAAAAAAAAACTCTTTAAAAAAATAGGCTTTAAAACAAAAAAAGAGAGAAGTAAAAATGCTTGGACTGCAGTAGTAGTAGTGGAAATGGACAGATGTGGATGAAGATAGAGACGTTTAGGGCTTGGTGATTAATGAATTATGTGGATGGAAGAGGAGGTAGAGCCATCAATATCTCCCAGAAAAATATCTGATGAAGCAATGGTTGGATGTCCAGGGCTCTATAGAGACTCTTTCACCCCCCAGAATGAGGTATTGGTTGGTGGACGTCTGCTGAGACGTTAGGGGCCTCTCAGTGACGTTCATTTTCTTAGAGGAAAACCCTGCTCTCTGGTCTCAACCAGTATTCTTACGAATGGTCTGGTCATGGCCGGTAGCACAGGCCCTGCTCTCTGGCCACAGGGCATGGGCTCCGCAGCTGCTGGTCTTACCCAGATCCATGGTGTGCACATCTGAGAAGCTCCTGCTTGGATCTGCTCCCCCAACAATGAAGACCTTCCCTCTCGTGGCATCACCAACTGGGGGTAAATATGAACAGCTGTGGCCAACCCGAGCACAGGGGCTGTCTCCAGGGGGGGTCAAGGTGTACCTGCCAAAGGAAGGATGTATTCAGGAGACCTGAGCGGAGAATAAACGGGGCCGTGTGTTCTTTCCACTCCTCATGAAATACTCACCAGAATGAAGAGTCTTATACACACACCCACCTTAAGTTGTATCCACCAAAGCAGTATTTCCCTCATTGATAATTGTCCCTACACATAACCTTTGACTTTTCAATTTTGTCACCACTTGTAGCTCACATTAACCTAACGGGGTTGCACTGGACTAGTAATTGTCCCCATTTGGCAGACAGGGAAACTGACACCCAGAAAAGTTCAGTGGTGTGTCCCAGCACGAGATGGTACCTGTGAGCATGGTTTGTGAATTCCCAGCTCAGGTGCTTTTGAGATGTGTGACCTTTTAGAAGTCATTTAACCTTTCTGAACCTTAGTTTCCTCATTTGGACAGTGAGGTTGGCAATAGTTCTTTGCTGTGAAGGTAAGATGAAGTCTTGTAACAGTGCAGGGAAGGACTCAGTAAATGGTGGCTGGAGCTCTATGGCCACTCCCGTAGGGACCTACAGCCCCAACGATCCTGCCGCTAACCCATGATGCTCTGTCAAGGAATATTCTCCAAAATGTATAGATTTTAAGAGCTTTTCCGGATTACTCAGAAAGCTTGACTCAGAAGCCAGAGCTAGGACTCTGAAAAAATCAAATACAGGACCCATTCATCCTGTTCTCTAAAGTCACTCTGAATGCCAACCAAAAAACAGAATTCAAACTTGCTGGTTGGAAAAGAAGATTCGGTAGCTATTTTTCAGGCACTGGCTCATTAGACCTCTCAGGCATCTGGTACTCCTGACCCTTTCCTCGTTCTTGTACCTTTCTCCTCACCTGGCTTCCCCACATCCCTTCCTTTTGGTTCTCTACCCACTGTTCTGGCTGCTCTTTTCTGTTTTCTTGCTCTGACTCCTTTCCTATCAGCTTTCTCCTAACCCTTAATACCCTTGGATTCTCTTCTCAGTCTGTGTTCGCTTACCCTGTCAAGTTCATCTGCACCGATGGCCTCAATTTACCACCCATCTACATACTCATCAGCGATTTCCAGTCTCAATTTCTTTTCCAGATCCCTCTTCTGATAACCAGATTCACATACCCTATGATCACCTGATGATTACTAACAATGTACCGTGTAGGCTGTGAACTTCGTTACAATCCTGGTTTCCCTTAATCTGTACAAAACCCCTTTGAGGACGGTACTATTATCACCATCTGATTTTTACAACTGAGAACCCGAGACTTAGAAAGGTTAAATAACTTACCCAAGAGCACACAGCCACCCAGATACGTGGTGAATACGACAAAAAGTCCCTGCCTTCAGAGCCCTCACAGACTAGTCGGGAAGAGAAACATTAAACAGGTAATTTCACAAATACCCATTTTATTTTAATTGTGCTATAAAGGAGTACAGGATATATATAGGGATATATACTATGAGAACATATCCTAAGGGGACCTCAGCCTGTAAGGAGAGGTGTGAGAGGGAGGGGGTCAGAGAAGGCTTCCTGAAGAAGCACCACTTGAACTGAGCTCTGAAGTATGAGAAGTTAGGTGGACAAAGAGAGGAATGAAAAGATGGAAGGAAAGAGTGACCCAGGTAGAGATCAGCACATACAGTACCTGAGTGCGCAGTGCAAGGCATGTTAAGGAAGAGAAAGAGAACAAAGGATGACTAAGGGTACCAGAGGTTGGAAAAGACAGGCAGGGACAGGTGGGCCATTTTAAGGACTCTGGTTTTTATCTTAAGATCAAAGAGGCACAAAAGGGTTTTAAACCAGGGAATGCCAGGAGCAGATTTACGTTGGCTAGAGAGCAGGAGGGGACATGGGGAAGCCACACTGGAGACCCTCCTCTCCAAGGGCCTGCAGAAGCATTGTCTCCTCTCTACAGCCTTCTGTGAGCCCTCCTTCAGTACCAATCACACTCACCGCCATCACCTGCTTAGTCCGTAACCCCCACTACTAGGAGACTATTCACCTTTGTACCCTCAGCACCTACACAGCAGCTGCCCGTCAGGCCATTGTTAGTTGAATAAAGCGTTGGTTGAGCAAGCAACCAAGAAGCAGTAAGGCCAGTTTAATCCAAATCCAATTCCCTGAGAATCTTAAAAATGAGTCACAGCTTGAGGGAAGACACAGTGTTGGAGCTGTGGATGCCAGATGGTCAGTGCCTTATTCTTCCTAGTAAATGGATTTTAATAAAATCAACATCTGCTCTGTGATAATTATTGCCCCACTATCTTTCCTCTGAAGACCTTTTCAGACAGTTTGAGTCTAATTACCAGCAACTACAGACAGCTTCGTCTCTACCCTTTCACAGAGATGATCAAATATGTTAGTAAACTACTTATAAATGAAACAAAAACTCTTGTTTTTCTCTGTCTGAATCCTTCCTTACAGACCATGTTGCTTTCCTGGGCTTGTCTCCAGGCCCCAAGACTGGCAGCAGCTTCATGGTGTCCTATGCATAAGAAAAAAAGGCACTTTTTAGACACACAGGACAAATCAGGTCACTTCCTTCTTTAAAACCTTTCCTTTCGATGTGCCGATTTCTAGGGCTTGGTTCATCTGAATAAGCATTACCAACCTTTTGATATAAACTTAAATTTGGGAGGCAAACATAACACAGCTTTATTGACACAATTACAGGGCTTTTCTTTATTATGTTTTATTTATTTTTGAGAAAGAGAGACAGAGGGTGAGCAGGGGAGGGGCAGAGAGAGAGGGAGACACAGAATCCGAAACAGGCTCCAGGCTCTGAGCTATCAGCAAAGAGCACGACGTGGGACTCC